GGTAAGATGTTCTGGTGTAAGGGGGTGGGGTGGGTGGGGGCTTTATTTATTTAATAATATAGTGAACATGCATTTCTTTGAAAATCTTCTATGCTTCTGGGCATATTCGAGGCAAACAGAGTAAAAGTTAGACAAGAGGCCCAAGGGCCTTAACGGTCACTTGAGTACAATACAACAATTTAGAGGATCCATAAACTGATAAATGAAGCTTTGTTGCCCAAAAGCAAGAAAAATAGTATGATAAGCATCAACAAAATAATTGGTATAGAATCTATCTCTCCCTTATTTATCACTGTTACCATGCAGACTATTAACAAAATGTCTATTTTTCACCCCATATTACTACTTCTCACATTGGTCTCTCTTGGCCCAATTGAAGAACATTAAAAAGATAAGCTATTTTTTTGCCTCACTTTTATTCATCTATTATTTCCAAGTCTACCTGATCATTAAAACTATGAAATTACTTTTCGTATTTTACAAGAAATATTCTTGCATAATTCTCTTATTTTATTAACCTTTCAAATACATTATTTACAGTGATTAATTATTAAAGGTGAATGGCAAAGGGAAATAACTTTGCTCAGCGGAATACAAGTTCATAGAGCCCTGGCCAGGACCAGAACACTTGACTAAATAATCAAGGTGTTCAAAATTGTGGTAAAAATACCCTTGCGTATTAAAACTTTTACTCTGTTTGCCTCGAATATGCCCAGAAGCATAGAAGATTTTCAAAGAAATGCATGTTCACTATATTATTAAATAAATAAAGCCCCCCCCCCCCCTCCTTACACCAGAAGATCTTACCCAGGGGCCATGAACTCACAATTCTGGAAGAAGCACTTTGCTCATCATAACTATACACTTATTTCTTTGCTTTATTGCCAGTAGTAGAAAGAATATTTTGAAAGAAATTATGCATTTTCACTATAAAATCAATAGAGCCCCCCCCCCCCCCCGTTCACCAGAACCCCTGACCCAGGGGCCATGAATTTCACAATTTTGGAAGAGGCACTCTTGCTCTTCATAACTATGTACTTACTTAGTTTATTTGATACCCAGGAGCAGAGAAGAAGATTTTGAAAGAATTCATGCATTTTCCCTGTATAATCAGTAGAGCCCCGCCCTAACACCAGAACCCTTCACCCAGGGGCCACGACATTCACAATTTCTGAGGAGGCAGCCATGCTCATCATAACTATGTAATAGTTTATTTAATATCCAGAAGAGAGATTTTCAAAGAAATAATGCATTTTCACTATGTATATCAATTGAGCCCCACCCTGACACCAGAACCCCTGACCCAGGGGCCATGAAATTCACAATTTTGGAAGAGGCAACCATGCTCATCATAACTATGCACTAAGTTAGTTTATTTAATACATCGGAGCAGAGAAGAAGATTTTCAAAGAATTAATGCAAATAATCAATAGAGCCCCACCCTAACACCTGAACCCCTGACCCTGGGGCCAAGAAATTCACAATTTCTGAAAAAGCAGCCATGCTCATCATATCTATGTTCTTACTTAATTTATTTAATATCCAGGAGCAAAGAAGAAGATTTTCAAAGAATTAATGCATTTTCACTATATAGTGAATAGAGCCCCGCCCTAACACCAGAACCCCTGACCCTGGGGCCATAAATTTCACAATTTTGGAAGAGGCACTTTTGCTCTTCATAACTATGTACTTAGTTACTTTATTTAATACCCAGGAGCAGAGAAGAAGATTTTCAAAGAAATGCATTTTCACTATATAGTCAATAGAGCCCCCCTCCCCCAACACCAGAACCCCTGACCCTGGGGCCATGAAATTCACAATTTTGGAAGAGGCACTCTTGCTCTTCATAACTATGTACTTACTTAGTTTATTTGATACCCTGGAGCAGAGAGGAAGATTTTCAAAGAAATAATGCACTTTCACTATATGATCTATATAGCCCCGCCCTAGCACCAGAACCCCTGACCCTGGGGCCATGAATTTCACAATTTTGGTAGAAGGCTCAATGCTTATTTCAATCATGCCAACAGTTTGACTGCTTGATGTCCAGGAGTAAAAAAGAAGATTTTTAAAGATTGCATTAATTTTGGTGGTTTTTGCCCCGACCCTCAGGCCCCAGGGGGGCAGGGACCATGAAATTCAAAATTGTTGTTCCCCTTCACCCATAGATGCTATATACCAAATTTGGTTGAAATTGGTTGAGAGAGAAGAAGCTAAAAATGTTCAAATGTTAACGCATGTCGCACGACGACGGACGAAAACAGATAGCAATATGTCACCTGATTGACTCAGATGACCTAACAATGGATTCGCTGAAGAAGATTGGGTTAGATGAAGGTAACCTTGAAAATAAAAAATGAAGAATTGCCAAAAGTAAAAGGTTTGTTACTTAATGTGCATATTATCGAACTATTTAAGTACACAAAAGACAATGGAAAGGAAATGTCATGGATGTTTAATGTGTTAAGAAAATTAACCGGAATCAAAGTTTGTAAAGAGCCACTAAATACCAATATTTATCGAGTGATAAAGAATGATAAGAAGCATAGAGGGACTCGAAAAGATGAGTTTAGGAATTTGCATTTTTCAATACCTACAGCTACCGTCGCCCGCGTGGCGCAGTTGTTAGAGCGTCTGCCATAGAGTCGCGGAGTAAGGTGTTGATCCTTACGTCGCGGGTTCGAATCCCACTGTGGGACGTGGAGACCATCCTTCGGATGAGATCGTATAAACCGAGGTCCCGTGTCGCATTAGGTGCTGACACGAGAAAGATCTCTTACTGCTCATTGGCCCTAAGTGCCGAATATAGGTCAAAATTTGCAGCTGTCCATGAGCAACGCCACCTCTTTATATGAGAGAAAAATTCTCTAGAAGGACGTTAAACAACAAACCTACAGCAACCTCTGTTAGTGATGATAGTACAGTGGCAACATCAACAGAAACTTCAAAAACGGAAAGAAATGTGTTGCGATAAAGAAGTTGACAGAAAAGAGAAGCTTGTTGAAAAAAGGAAAAGAATAAATGTTCTTTCTATTAATAAATAAACAACTAGAGCGCAAGTTGGATAGAGCAATGACTACTAAAGAAAAAGTGAAGAGATTAAAAGTTGACCGTGAAGAATCAAAAAAAAAAAAAAAAACTAAAAATATTACAAAATTGAGCAAAACATTGAAACAAAGGCTTGAAAAATTAAAAGGATCAAATCAATTGAACATTTCTTATAAGAAGTATCAAGAAAGTTTGAAACACAACAAAACCCTGCTGGGAAAAGTGAAGGCTTTAGAAATGAACATAAATGTTTTAAAGGAAGGCTTTGGAAAAGGAACCATCAAACATCAAATAGATCACTTAGAGACAGACAACAAGCAATTGAAGGACAGTAATGACGAATTGATATTAAGTGTGCAATACCTAGAAGGTTTGTTAGCTGATAGTAGTGACAGAACTTTACTTCTTTTCGATGAAACAAAAAAAAAGGAAAATAGAAATGAAGCAGTAAAATGCATCATGCATTTAACTGACTTGAAGGTTGCAAGGAAAAAGGCCGGACCTGTAATCCATTAAGTGGCAACCATGTTTGGGAAAGAACCAACAAAAATATCATCTCGTACTACAGTAGACACAATAGTAAACAGAAAATTATCAATTGCACAAAAAAAAACTTGCATGTGAAGAAAAAGAAAAATCGAACACTACACTTTTTATTGAGAAACAAGTAAATATGGAAAGACAATGCAATCTTATATCAGTACAGATGAGGAGCAAAATTCATATGTTGTTGGTCTCAGGGACATGTTTAATAAGAGTGACACATGTAATTTGGATACATTTCGTGAAATTCTTCAGGACACCAACTCTTTATGTGTAAATAGTGAGGAAAGTAATGCTGGACTCCAGATTCTTAAAAACATTAAAAATACCATGTCGGACAGAGCCAGCAGAGAGAAAAACTTCAATAGACTACCAGATGAGTGCCGAAGTGATGTTTTACCACAAGTCATTGGCAATTGGAACCATCTTAATGAAGATCATCAAAGAATTGCTTCTTCCATAAACGAATTCTTTTGTGTTCTTCATCTACTTGTCGGAAGGTTAGGGTGATGTTGCTGAGGACTCACTTAAGAATTTTGAAATGAATTTCTTAGATGGGAAGTCAATAGGCTCTGGTGCATTACCAGAAATTAAGATGTTTCATCGGCAAGAGAGTGGAACTTCAAGATTATTGAAAACTTCATCTAAAGCATTTTTTCTCAGAGAGGATGAGAAAAACGGTGTAAGCTTGTCGTGGAAAACTTACCTCAGAGAGAAAAAAGAGAAAACTTCACTGAAGGAAGATCTAACGGACATCTGTTAATTGAAAAAAATATCCATTTACTTTATCTTTGTCACCGTTATCAAGCTGGAAGTTCCGAAACCAGTTTCACTGTGACAGAAATATGTAGGCATGATATCATCTCGCACTGTGATTTGGTCACGCTATGACCTCTAATAAGTTCATACAGAATTGAACATATTTTCTCTTTAAAAGGTTCATTTCAAAAAGATTTGCGAATGTAAATATCCATTACTGATAGTGTGCAACAAAAGCTTGAAACATTTAAAATAAAATAAATGATAATAAAAATAAAGTTTGAAATAACTGTATTTAATACAAGCATAATAAACAGAAAACAAATATTAGAAAAGGTTAGAAATACTGGGCGTGTTTGAGTCAGTAAATAAAATATGCTAATGTTCAATGGGTAATAATACAAAGTTCAAGTAAGGACATTCCAAAAACCCAGTACACTAAATTTTAGTGTCAAATATACTGCCATTGGTATAATCGACCATTTTAAGCAGACGCATATTAACGCCCGTCAAATCTCTCCTGGGAGCTGAAACATAACAAATAAAAGTTTTGTATTATTGATAAAATTTCCATTTATTGCAGGAATTGTCGATTTCATACTTGACGAGGTAATAAAACAGATATTATCCTGTATCTGTGAGGGAAAAAAATGACGTCGAACTATCTTACAGTCACTGTAAGTGGAAAGAAATTTACTTTGACAGCTGAAGCACTGAAATTATATCCAGATACCAAACTTGGAAAATTTATCAACAGTAATGAAAACATCAAAATGGAGTGTAGTTTTGAACGTCCAGTGCGTTTCTTTAAAGAAATCCATGCCTTTTATCAAACAGGAAAGCTTCATATGCCTACTAATGCCTGTCCACAAGCTTTTTTGGAAGAACTGAACTTTTGGGAGATAGAAGTTTCATATATGGAAAGTTGCTGCTTGAGCTCTTTGGAATCAGCTTTGGGAAAATTGAAGAAATTTAAAAATTTCGTGGACGACCTTCGAGAACATAACCAGGTAAAGGTCGCACCAAAGGAATTGTCAAGAAAACAATGGATTTGGGGAGTCTTAGAGAATCAGTTTCGAACGAAGGCTGCAAAGGTAATATCTATTGTCCATACATATTATATTGATTTGTATCTTTATACATGAAACATAAGAAAAAAGTTGTCTAGTAATATTTTCACCCATTAGAATTTCTATGAAAAAATTAAAATCTTGTTATAAATTGCTATTGATTTGTCGTTTATATCCCCTGGGTTGTACCTTGAAGTTCACAAGTAATCTCATATAACCTTGAATTTCAACTACTGTGGAATCATTTTAATTCGCGGGGGTCAATGTTCGTGGGCAGGCAAACTTTACTTGTTCATGGGAACGTGAGTTCGTGGGTTACTCGTTTATACGGTAGATTTAATGAATCAATAAGTTTACAAAATAAACGTTCGAGGGGATTTAAATTCATAGGTAAGGGTGACCCATGAAATCCATGAACATTGGTTCCCCGCGAACAATAATGATTCCTCAGTATTCCTAATGGGTTACCCTACATATCAATTGGGATGACATATGGATGTTGAAGAGTGGGACGGAGGCGATAAAAACTGTGCTTAATTTACATGTACTTGAACATTAGTTAGGAATATAATAAAATGAAAGGCACGAATGTATACATCTTCACAATGTCAAAATTTTGTGATATCGTTCCTCTAAACAAACTCTTGACAAAAGTCGCTATTTTTCTTTTGGCCCCTCTTCCTTTTGTTTTTGAAAGATTCATTATATTATATGCATTCTAAGAGAAAGCGGAGGCCGTACATAATTGGGAGTCAAAATTTTGATAAGGAAAAATCTCAGGAACTAAAGACCATCAAATTAGAAATCAATAGGCTAAACAAAGTCGGGCTAGAAAGCTACTATTTCATCTGATTCCAGTCTAGAACTGGGAACAATCAGAAAATTGCACTTATTATAGTAGGCAAGTTTTGAAAACGGAAATGACTCGTCTTAAAAAAGTGCCTTTTTGAAGGATTTGTGACAAGTTAAGTCAAATAAAATATCGTAGAATAATTTTTAAGAGCTCCTTCTCCTTACAACCATAAAAGATGTGCTATGGCTTTGGGTTGCTTGATGACGGATTTAAAAGGGAAATTCTCATATTATAATTATTTTAATATTAATATAATTAACCATTACGTAATGTGTACCCACAAGCCTTATTTTTAAAATGCGACTTTGTTAAGGGTTTGAAAAGAGGGATGATGTGTTAAGATGAAATGTATATTAGGTAATGTGTTAAGATTCGGTTGTATGAGGATTATAACCAGCATTGAAACACGTAAATAAGTCTCTTATGGGAATTATTGAGTGTTCCCACGTTATCGAAACACATGTATACACGCCAAAAAATGAATAATGGATACTTATTCCTTAGACATTTTTAGTGTGAAAAAACATACCTGAAGAAAATGTAGGTCGAAGAAACAGAAATGAATACGCACTTCTAAGCACAAATACGAAATTTTGCTCTTTAATTCAACTTCTACACCGGAAATTTCATACTTTATTTTTATGCCCCGGGATCGAAAGATCCCGGGGGTATATTGTTTTTGTCCTGTCTGTCTGTTGTCAACTTTAACCTTGCCGATAACTTTTGATTGGTTGGAGCTATGACTTTCATATTTCACATGTGTATTCCTTGTGACAAGACCTTTCTTTCGGTACCATCATATTTGATCTTGGAGTTTGACCCACTTCTGCAAAATTTTATGAGACTTTAACCTTGGCCATAACTTCTGAACAGTTGGTGATTGGGGTTTCAAACTTCACATGTATATTCTTTGTGACAAGGCTTTCCTTTGGATATCAACAAGTTTGACCTTGACCTTGGAGTTTGACCTACTTTTGAAAAACTTTAACCTTAGCCATAACTTTTGAACGGTTGTTTGGCTTCTCTTGGAGTTATACTGGAATATGCTCTATATTCTCCCTGCTAATTTCTTCTTATAGTACTAGCTAGGGCTTTCATTACTTATGTAATCCTTGTGCCAAGACCTTCCTTTGGATACCAACCACTTTGACCTTGACATAGGAGTTTGACCTACTTTCGAAAAACTTTAACCTTGGCCATAACTTTTGAATGGTTGGTGCTAGGGCTTTCATACTTCACATATGTAATCCTTGTGACAAGACCTTCCTTCGGATACCAACAACTTTGTCCTTGACGTTTTAATTACTTTTAAAAATCTTTCACCTTCGCCATAACTTTTGAACAGTTGCAGCTAGGGCTTTCAAATTTCACAGGTATATTCCTCGAGACAAGATCTTTCTTTGCGCTACCAACGTTTTTTATCTTTTGGCCTGGATTTTGACTTGCATTTGAGAAACTTTAACCTTCGCCATAAGCTGCCATACGGGGGCATCAGTGTTTCACAAACACATCTTGTTAGATAGAGGTTTTCTCTGATTTTTAGCTGAACTAAGCGGAAGGATCAAGTGAGCTTTTATAATTAAAATTTGTCCGTTGTCTGTCATGGTCGGCGTTGTCGTAAATGTTTCACACTAAGTCTTTCATCTTCTTCTCCAGAACCACTTTGCCATTTTCAACCTAACTTCGCAAAGAGTATCCTTGGTAAGAGCGATCCAAGTATGTTCAAATGAAGGGCAACATCCTGTTCCAAAGGGAGATAATAAAGAACTTGTGAAAATTGGGTAGGGTCATTTAAAAATCTCAAAAACCACTGTGCCAGAAAGGATGAAACTTATGTGCAAGCTTTCTGAGGTAGTGTAGATTCCAGTTTGCTCAGAGCATGACCCCAGGCGGAGTGTGGAGCCACGATGGGCAATGAAAGTTATACACAGGAATACCTACGAAAAATCTTTTAAAATTCTTCTCAAGAACAGCAAAGGTTTAAGACATATTTACATGGTGGCATCCTGAGGCAGTGCAGATTCAAATCATGGGGTAGGAAGGGACCCTGATAGGCGATCAAAGTTTTAAGTAGGAATATATAATAGGAAAAAAATCTGCTAGGGAACAGCAAAGCAATGATTAGTCATATATTAAGGTGCTGAAGATTCAAGGGTTCAAATCATAACTCTTGCGGGTGGGTTTTGGGGCCACTATGTGAAATCAAAGTTTTACATAGGAATACATCGGGAAAGTCTTTAAAAGTCTTCTTCTTAAGAACAGCAAAACCATAATTTATTATATTCATATGGCCGCAGCTTCAGGTATTGTAGATTCTAATTGTTTAAATTATGACCCAAGGGGTAGGATGGGGCCATAACGGGCGAGCAAAGTTTAGCCTAAGCATATAAAGGAAAAATCTTTTATATCTTCTTCCTAAGAACAGCAAACTAAGCCATGATTAGTCATATTTATATGGAAGCATTCTCGGGTAGTGTAGATTTAAGTTTGTTGGAATCATGATACCTAAGGGTAGAAAGGGGCCACAATATGTTATCTTAATTTTACATAGGAAAAGATAGGAGAAAATATGCCGATAAAACAGGACTATAGGTGAGCGTTGTGGCCCATGGGACTCTCGTATATAATGATCTCATGATTCATTGATGTGTATTTTACTTTTAAATAGGTATACCTTGCTGTGAGTATATCCTTGATAATTATCTCCGTCCTTTCCCTCTCCATCAGCACGCTTCCAGTTTTCGGACAGAGGATCAATGTTTGCGAGATGAAAAGTAAAATTCCTGATGCCGACGACTACTTGAATTCATTCCTCGACAACCTGGATTGTGACACAGATCCTTGGAAAGTTTGGCATTACTACTTTGGAGACATTCCGTCCGACTTAAACGAAAAAGATTTTGAAGAATATTTTTTAAACCACACACACTATCAGCATCCTGAGGAGTATGACGATTACTATAGCAACTATATTAATGGCGGTTTGCCATTAGATACAATCTACAGGCATTACAAAACCAGAGTACCTCAAAAAGTTAAGAAACATGTTGTTTTTACTGTCATTAACCAAGTGGTGATGATTTTTTTTGCAATAGAATTAATAATGCGATTACTCACGTGTCCAAACTTTCGGAAGTACTTCCTGTCGTTTCTTAATATTCTGGATATTTTAATAATAACAGCATCAATTGCAGTAGAAATCGTAGAGTCTGTTTTGAAAGAAACAAAGTTTGACAAACGCGTAGAAGCCCTTGATTTTCTACAATTCTTAAGAATTTTTCGTTTGCTGAGAGTTGTACAACATATTGTTGAGGTCCGCGTGTTTGTTTACTGTGTGAAGACAAACATTCGAGACCTGCTGGTTTTACTCGTTTTTGTCCTGACGGCCATTCTAATTTTCTCCAGTGTCCTGTACTTTGCAGAAGGCCAAGATAACGTCGACAGTATCCCAAACGCTTGGTACTGGAGCGTGGTTACACTTACGACATTAGGTTATGGAGATATCGTTCCAAAATCTGTCGGCGGAAAGTTGATAGGGGGTATATGTGCTTTGGCGGGCATATTTGTGTTTGCGATGATTATCCCTGTTTTTGTTAACAACTACAAGAACTTGAACCAATTACTTCATTCCAAAAAAGTAATTAATCAAAAAAAATGGAACTGGACTGTAAATTCAGTGCGGAAAGATTACGTTGACCAGAAGAATTCATCATCAAAACAAAGGGGGTACTAGTGGTTACTGATAAAGAAACTTTCATATCATCTTTATTCATATTAATATCTTCAATATACAACATTAAACATTAAATTTTTTACCGTACATTAAACAGTTGTAGACGCTATGACTGTACATTATTTATATTCTGTGTTACTAGAAGATCTCAACAGTGATTGCAATGGGTTGAAAAGTTTTTTCAGTCAGTTCTGGAGTGAGAAACGAAAATAACCTACAATTTAAGGTTGTAAAATATCTTCCAAACTTGCATTTATCAGCTCTATCTCCTCTGAGCTCTACTGGTACATGTAGTTTAAATCGCTTTGTGCAATGTTTGTCAGCAACTATAGTATTTGTTTGTTTGTATGTTGTTTAACGTCCCTCTCGAGAATTTTTCACTCATATAGAGACGCCACCACTTGCCGGTGGAGAGCTGCAAATTTTGTCCTATACTCGGCACTTAGGGCCATTGAGCAGTGAGGGATCTTTTTCGTGCCAGCACCTACTGCGACACGGGACCTCGGTTCATACGGTCTCATCCGAAGGACCGGTCTCCACGTCCCACAGTGGGATTCGAACCCGCGACGTAAGGATCAACTCCTTACGCCGCGACTCTAGAGCGAACGCCCTAACCACTGCGCCACGCAACTATAGGTAGAATATTTATTTTGTATATTGTGTGATAAAGGAAGGGGATTTGGTTTTAAACTACATGTACTTTAAATATACAGTGTATACTACAATGAACAGACTGTTTTGTTAGTCATTTTTCAAAATGGCCACCTAGTGCTTCATTTTCATTCACATTATCCCTTTTGAAGTATGAGTTGTTAAAAATCAAACTGACGAGATGTAGAGGGAAAAAAGTGACTAGAAAAAAAGAAAGTCGGTGGTGGTACTGGTGGTCATATATACGTCTTAATTGCACAAATTGGAGGTATAGCTGTCCATAGTTATCAAAAGAAAAACAACCAAACACAATCATACAATACTGCTCTAGGAAATAAAATCTAGTCTCATTGCATCGATATATACCTTTGATTAAGATAAAATGATTGGAATTATTAAATTTTTAGGTGTTGCAGGAGCTTGCACTCTCTCTCTCTCTTAAAAAAAATAAACTATAAATTATAGGTTCTCTTTCTCTACTACAATGTTTTTTTTTAAATATCAGGCCTGTGGAAAGCAATTTCAGTAAAAGGGGGGGGGGTTACAAAAATTCCTTGACAAGCACCGTAAAAAGGTAAGACGTTATTACTGATGTCATTACTGAGGGAACACAAGCATAAAGTACCTGCGTGTCTTGTACTGTATATCAACAAAATTATGGGGGGGGGGGGCGACTCTCCCGTACCCTCTTTAAATCTGAATAAAATGAACCAATAATTTATTTGCGAATGACATTTCATAACGCTGCTGAGTAACACAAATATGTCATGTATAAAGTTACTGATTTTTTTTGGTCAAAGTTTTACAAATTGTTTCAATATTGGTGAGAACTTTTGAAGAAAAAAGATTTTTAAAAATGGGCATTATGGGTCCAGTTGACCCCTCTTAAGGTATTCAATGTATAACAACTATATTTTGATATTTTGTACCTAATAAATGAATGGTCCCAAATTTTAATAAACGAAGCATTTTGAAGGTGTTATCAATTAAAAATATTCCGTGAAAGGAATTTTTAAAAAAAAAAAAATTGATTTTTTCTAATTTAATTTCCTTCTTTACATTAAGGGCAGATAACTCTTCAAAAACGTTGAAGGTGCAAAATCACCGGCTTCTTGAATATTATCAGTCATGTCAATTTGGTTCATATCACTTTCATCCTTATCTAGCAATTATACATATTTAACTAGTTTAAACGATTCAAAAATGTTCATTATCCCTTCATTATACATTGAATACCTGAGTCATAACTATGAGTCCCTAGCCGAAATTAATGATTCCAAATACTACTCTATAAAGTAATATCATAGTCTACCCCTTTGCCCTGTGTGTCAACTGTAAGGCTGCTTCCTAGTTGGGTTTGCATGGAAAATCCCCTTTCACAGCCAGCAGTGTTTACTGCTGAGGCAAAGGCCAGTTGAGCTAATACAATCAAGCCAGGATTGCATAAATTTCATTTCCAAAAACTGTCTTGGATAGTGTTTTGAAAAAAACTACTCTTTTTTAAAGTCCCATTCTTCATTGGTGTATTCTCCTGAAGTAAATTCCTGTGATGTCTTCCTTATCACTCCATTCGACAATTCTCTCCCCATAAAACTGACACAGTGTCAATCTGTTCCTCGCTAAAGTTGTTTAATACCTCACTGCTAAAAGAAATGTAGAGCAAGGATGTTAAATGCTGATATGAGGTCTGAAAAAGGAAACCTTAGTAAAAAAGAATAAAACTATATAAATAAATGCTCATGTAAATGATGAAGCCAGAATAGAGATGGGTATTTCGGAAATTTTCATATCAATGCTCTGACTTGTGTAATAACCTTGCAATGATGTTTTTCTCTCGGGTATCAATGAACTCGGATATCAACTTCTTTACGTTTAAAATTGTTTCACAGCATGCCCATTAAGAATTCTATTTGGACATTCATTTCTTCTTTCACAGCTTGAATATAAGGCGATTCCATCGTTTTAATCTCCTTAAGATCATAAATCTATCTTTACCTATGAGGATTAATACCTATGTTATTAAGCTAAGCTTTAATTTATAACTGAACATTTCATGAATTCATAAAGGATGACTGCTCTTAACGCCTGTTTTTGGATCTTTTTCGGTTGCTTCTGTTGCTTTTATATCTAAATCTTATCTCACTTTTGTATGTTTATGAAAGAATACTGTCAATTTGGAACCACATTTAAATCTTAAAATGACTTAAAATCTTAAAATGACTTTAGACTGTGATACAATAAAATGATTCAATGTTTTTGTCCTTACTGCTTTCCAGTTTTTTCTCTTTTTAACCATGAGCGCATGTTTGTCTATTAATCTCCTTTTGACACATTATCATTTATGCAAATATACAACTACTGTTAAACGTAGAACAATAGACAAACATGCGCTATGTATAAAGTCAGTAAAAAAGTGGGCGTCCTCATTATCGAACGGAGATTCAAGAAATTGTGATGACCCCTGCCTTTGAAAACAGATTCGAACTTCGTACATATACACCGTTATTAAGCGTAATTGCATAAAGTTGTAGATTGGATGTTGACCATTCTTGCAATGAAAAGAAAAATGCTTGTTTTGAAAGTTTATTTTGTCGCAAATTCCGCACGTCCTTAAGTGCAGTCATCCTTTGTACTTTTTGGATGTCAAGTCTTCCAACAATCTGTTGTGATTCCCATGAGTATTGATTATTGGCAAACCCTTTTTCGTATTCATATAAAGCAGAATTTATTCAAAATCTTTTAAATGAAAAGTCTCTTGCAGTGGCCTTCAATTCAACATTAAGTAATATTAACTTATCTGTCAGTAGCCTGCCTCGATTTAAAACCTGATCGTACTCACAACATACTCTAGGGTATCAAATAAGGTGGGAGACGTAAACCCCATATGCAGATAATAGCGGGATATTTAATAAAAAAATATCAATGTTTAAAAGATCTCTAGGAAATGAACTTGTTTGGCCACATGATCAAATCCTGTGAAGCCCGAAGCTTCACAGTTAATTTATTCACGTACAAACTAAGTTCATTTCCCAGTGAACTTTTTATTAACCTTGTTATTTATTACTTAATTTTACATTTGAGACGAATATTCGAATAGAATACCACACGAACGGCTCTCCGAATCACTATGTTGTGACACGCAGTGACCTATAATGTAGAACTGGGATTTATTTGGTCTTGAAAGTTCGCTTAGCTCCAACATTTGAATGTCTACATTGATGTGTATCAATCAATTTCAGGAAACGTCTGTTTATAATAATAAAACAATAATCGGCATTGAGAATAATCTTACTATTTTTTGAGTTCTTTATATATGTGGAGTCAAAAGCGGTGATATCGTCTGTTTCAGTTTACATATCTTCAAAGGAATTTGGGGTTAAACAAGTAAGTGCGATTTTAATTATTGAAACCATTCTACAAACCGAAGGAAGATCTAATGGACATCTGTTGATAGAAAAAATATCCATATATATGTCTTAATTATTTTATCGTCACTGCTATCAAGCTATTTTTGATGGAGATTCGGCTCGGCAAGATATTTACCTCGAGGTAAGAGAAGCGAGACCGACCGTGGGTTTCCGACGATGAATGCACATATGAGATTCCTTGACACTAGTCGAACAGGTCTGTGTATGGGCTAAGGTATTAATTTATAAAATAACAAATATATATCTACTTAGTACTTTTGTCCTCTCCGATTTGAACACCGTGATTTAGCGTGAATGTAATGTGCACGCGCAAGATTGTAAAATCCAAAAAATCCAGATGATTTCCGGAATTTTTTGAGGAATTTTCGTTGATTATTAATTAGCGAAGCTTAATTGAGAAAAAATAAAAACAAATTAGTAATCTTCAAGTACCAATGATGTTTAAAATATATAAAACAAAAGACAGTACTTTTCCGATTTATCGGTATTAAAGGTCAAAAATTCGAGTCTATAATTTTAATATAGTAGTATAGATGTGGATACTTAAAAATTCCAAGGAACTTTTGGAAAATTTGAAATCACAAAATTTTACCAAAATCAATAATATAAAAACTAAAGACTTTTCTACTCTGTATACAACCATTCCCCATGATAAATTAAAGTCCAGGCTTTTTGACATCATTGACGGCTGCTTTTTCAATAAAAATGGAATTCGGAAATTTACTTACCTTGTCATTGGTCATTTGCAAAATTATTTCGTTAAAAAACATTCTGATTGTACACACAAATACTCTGAAGAGGAAATACCGTCAGGGTAGCTCAGTCAGTAGAGCGCTCGCTCCGTGATCGGAAGGACTTAGGTTCGAATCAAGGCCAAAACATTAATAATTAAAAACCTAGTAATTCCTATTATTGGATATG